TTTGCTGAAAAAAGAGCCCAACAGATTTTTTTTTTTTTTTTTTTTTTTTTTTTTTTTGCCCATTGCCTCTCTGAGTCAGCTGCTGGCAACACATTTTTATCATGCAACAAGTAATCCGCCTGTGAAACTCATTACAGCGGGATGTCAGCCTGGCATTTAGAGTAAAAGTGGTTTGTGCTATTGCTTGAACAGACGGAGCATCTAAAGTCATGACAATACCTGTTAAAAAAACTGTTTACAAGAGGTGCTTCAGGCTGCTTTTCGACTATCAGGAGTCTGTAGGGGATATTCCTATAGGGAAGGTTACCAGCAAACTGCTGTACTTGATGTGACTTTTGGACCCTGGGCTTTCTGCTTGACTTTGCCTGAACATTGCTGTCTGCTTCATTATTTACCCAGTGCAGCATCAACACCATTTTCTCGCGGAGTGGTTGCCACAGAGACAGGCAAGGAGGCCATGCCTTGCTTTTCACAAAACACTCCTTGTTCTTGGCATTTGGGTCTATTCTGAATAAATGCACAAAGTTTAAGAGAGAAATGCAGAGTAAAAAGTATATTATTTCCTATGAATACACATACACCTGTGCCCAGGACACTTCATTGCTCTGCACTGGCTGAGGAGCATCTCTAGGGCCCGTGATGCTGGCACAGTGGGTCTCCCCAGGGCTGACCAGCTCCTCCCATCTCCCCCCATTCTCATCCTTCTCTTGGATGTTATCCTCTGGTGAATTTTATGGACCTCATTAGAAAACCTGACAAGGTTTACACTTTTTTTGCAAGATGAAGACTTGAGATTGCTCTTATAAGATCACAACTACTCTGCCCTGTCCTAAGGAGTGTCAGCAAGTCCACCCAACAGCAACCACCTGAGGAAAGAACTGCAGTGAGGAGGGGGAGCAACATTTGCTTCAAATTGATCCAAAAAAATGTAATTTTGAGGGTGAATCTCAAAATCCTTAGCTGGTACCTTGATAACTATATTACGTGCTCTGTTGTCCTCGCTTTCACCGTGGCCTGGCTGCTTTCCTTCCTCAGGCTTTGGTTTATGTCACAGTTGGTATGAAATGTCCCTTACCCCTAGGTCACCATGTCTGTGAACAGCCGAAGGATATTGCAGACCACGTTTTCAGATGGAAAGCTGGGGTTTATATGTGTGTTTATTTGTAATTGCCTCTGTCTGTATTTATGTTAATCATAGGGTTTCTGAGACCTTGGAGAACCATTTACGGCACCAGACTAATGAGCTCTGCTCCCCTTATGGCATTTCATTTCCTGGGCAATGTGGCCACTGTAAAAAGAGAAGCATTTGCATTAATTTTTCCTCGTAATAGACACCCTGACTCATCAAAAGCCAACAGAAGCTAAACATTCACCTAAAGATACAATCACTGACCTCCTAAACTTTGTCTGAATACACCCACATCCCGCACTGTCCACACTGCCAAGCACTCTAGATGCTTCATCCCCATATTTCTCAGCCAGAGGATTCATTGGAACCTCGAGGCAGTTCCCTGTGAGCCCTGGAGTTTGTGTGTACTGAAGATGCAAACCAGAAACCAGGTGAACACCAAGCTGTCAATTCCGGTGTTCTGACACAATTCAGAGGGCAGTGTTTCTTGTGTAGTCAAAATATGTGTTTTCTTTGCAGGTGTCCACCTGAGCACAGTATCTGCTTGCACTAATTCCACTGGTCTGTGGCCATAACAGAACAGCAAGCATGGACCAAGAAGAACAGCAATAAGCTAACGCATACAAGAAATGCATCTGCATTAGGAGAAGACAGTTACCACTTAGGGAACATGTAACGCTCCGGCAGCAGCAACACTAAACTGTGAAGCAGCAACAGCAATATCAAATGGTGTATTTCTGCTTTGTCACCAGACTTTCTGTACCACAAGCTAGTGGGCATGGTACAGGAGTGAGTGACATAAATAACTGTTCTCGTTGGAGCACCTCAGGAGCTCTGGCTGCACTAACTGACTAATCCAGCCAGCAGATGACCTTGGATTTGGGGTTCATCACTACGGTAAGGGAAAAATAGACAATGGGCAGCTGGTGTTAATATACTGATGAGCATTTAGGAACACTGGTGGCTAATGAGGCTTT